TTTTTTTTTTATCAAACACCTTCATTTTTTCCTCTTTATATGCTTCATTAATCTTGTTTCAATATTATCTTGTTTCAATATTAATCAGATCTGAAATATATTGAAACCCCTTTTGATAAAATACTGATCTTTGTATTAAAAATACTCCCTTTTTGATTTTTCATTTAGATCTGAGCTGAAAAAAGGTGTAAAAATGGGATCTTTTGATAAATTCAAGATTTGGGTTTTGTTTATCTGCTTGGTTTGTGAATTGGGTCATGGGTTTTATTTGCCTGGAAGTTATCCTCATAAATATGTGGTTGGTGATTTCTTGAATGTTAAGGTCAATTCATTGACTTCAATTGACACTGAATTGCCTTATAGTTATTATAGTTTGCCTTTCTGTAAGCCTGAAGAAGGTGTGAAAGACAGTGCTGAAAATTTAGGTGAGCTTCTTATGGGTGATAGGATTGAGAATTCTCCTTATAGGTTTAAGATGTATACCAATGAGACTGAGGTTTTCTTGTGTCAAACAAAACCTTTGTCTGGTGAGGAATTTAAGCTTTTGAAAGAGAGGATTGATGAGATGTATCAGGTTAATTTGATTCTTGATAATTTACCTGCTATTCGTTATACCAAGAAGGAGGGTTACTTCTTGCGTTGGACGGGGTATCCTGTTGGGATTAAGGTCCAAGATCAATATTATGTGTTTAATCATTTGAAGTTTACGGTTCTTGTTCACAAATTCGAGGAGACCAATGTGGCTCGTGTGATGGGTACTGGGGATGGATCAGAGGTGATCTCAACAGTTGGAAATTCAGGATCCGATGCACCTGGATATATGGTCGTCGGGTTTGAGGTTGTACCTTGTAGTTACCAGCATTCGCCTGATTCATTAAAGAACCTTAAAACGTACAATAAGTTCCCATCTCCAATCAAGTGTGACCCGACAACTGTGTCCATGGCTATTAAAGAAAATGAGCCTGTGGCTTTTACTTATGAGGTGAACTTTGTGGAGAGTGACATTAAGTGGCCATCGAGATGGGATGCTTATTTGAAGATGGAAGGTGCAAAGGTGCATTGGTTCTCGATACTCAATTCCCTTATGGTGATCACTTTCTTGGCTGGTATTGTGCTCGTGATCTTTTTGAGAACAGTCCGAAGGGATCTGGCAAGGTATGATGAGCTTGACAAAGAAGCTCAAGCCCAGATGAACGAGGAGTTATCTGGGTGGAAGCTTGTTGTCGGTGATGTTTTCCGCGCGCCTGGTAATCCTGGCCTTCTATGCGCGATGGTTGGAGATGGTGTTCAAATCTTGGGGATGGCTGTAGTGACTATCATGTTTGCTGCCCTTGGATTCATGTCCCCAGCATCTCGAGGAACGTTGATTACAGGTATGCTATTCTTTTACATGATTCTTGGTGTTGCAGCTGGTTATGTTGCTGTTCGTCTCTGGAGGACAATCTTCTGTGGCGATCACAAGGGCTGGGTTTCAGTCGCGTGGAAAGCTGCATGTTTCTTCCCTGGGATTGCTTTCTTTATCCTAACCACATTGAACTTCTTGCTATGGGGTAGTCACAGTACGGGGGCCATTCCCTTTTCTCTGTTTGTCGTTCTCATTTTACTTTGGTTCTGTATCTCTGTTCCCCTAACCCTTATTGGTGGCTACCTCGGGGCAAAGGCACCTCATATTGAATATCCAGTCCGAACCAACCAGATTCCTCGTGAAATTCCACCACAAAAATATCCGTCTTGGCTTTTGGTTCTCGGTGCAGGAACCCTTCCTTTCGGCACTCTGTTCATTGAGCTCTTTTTTATCATGTCCAGTCTTTGGATGGGTCGTGTGTACTATGTCTTCGGATTTCTCCTTATTGTCATGCTCCTCCTTGTCATCGTTTGTGCTGAGGTATCTCTTGTTCTAACCTACATGCATCTATGTGTCGAGGACTGGAAATGGTGGTGGAAGTCATTCTTTGCTTCTGGTTCAGTTGCGATATACATTTTCCTATACTCCATCAACTACCTAATATTCGACCTCAAGAGTTTAAGCGGCCCTGTTTCCGCCACCCTTTACCTCGGATATTCCCTCTTCATGGTCTTGGCGATTATGTTTGCAACAGGCACGGTCGGGTTCCTTTCCTCTTTCTGGTTTGTACATTATTTGTTCTCTTCAGTGAAGCTGGATTGAAGTCGTCTCTCGGGCTTGAAGTTAGAGATTGCAATTAAAACCAACCATTGAAGAGCAACCAGTGGCAGATATCAAAAGCATTCTATTTACTTTTAATGTCATTTTGTAGGGTATTTGGAAGAGAAAAACAATAAAACTCCTAAAGTTTTGTTAAATTCTTTTTAGAAGAAGTCATTGCAATTTGCATGGTAGGATGAACATCATATGATAGGCAAGCTTGGATGCTTTGCTTTCAAATTTGCCATCATTTCTCTACATTTATATTAATAGTGATGAATCTGTTATCGTTAACCGGCTTTTCTTATTATATTGATGATTCTTGTATCTATGTTTAATTTGTTTTTCAAGTTGGATTTGAG